CGCTAAATTCAGGACATTTTCATAACATTCAACTTGAAAATGCACAAACTATTTAGAGTATCCAACGTTTCTCCAAACATCGAGTGCAACGCATCGCTAGTACCTACCAGCTGGCTGGCTCTTGGTTCTTCGTTTCCTTACCATAATTCCGCCAACAGCAACCATGCCAATGAAGATTACCAGATCAACTGACTCCTTGAAGGTTTTGAAATCGATACTCAATGTAATTGCAGCTAGTCAGGTCAAAGTCCACCTCGAACGTTTAGATTTGTTGTGGGAGCTGATTGGGCAATTGAAACGCATGATCGTCAACAATCGACCAAATCGATGCAACGAAGAGACTGCTGGCTTTCTTTTTCTGTTAAAGTCGAACAGCTTCGCAGCATTCTAGAACCTCAGTCGGCGTGTACAAACAAATGTTCAATCGCTTGTCTCTCTTTCTCCCGTCGCTCCATTGGTCTTTCTTTCAAGCTTCTGTGAAACGGATGAGTGAAAGAGCGCTCGACTTTGATAGTTTTTTCTTTCATGAAACACATCAATAGAGGTTTCATGACGTATATGACGGAAAATGAAAATATATATTTAAAGCATTTGTCACGTGGATACACTTGAAGATTACACGTAATATTTTTAATTTATCTTCCATCCATATATTTATCTAAAAAAAAATGATCGAAAACGGGACATAACGCATTTTAATCAAATTGCAAGAGCGGTGATAGAGTGTTCGTGAAAGGGGATTGAAAGCCATAATGAGGTTTCGTTTAACTAGAAAATCGACGTTAGTTACATTGAAGCGATGAGCAAAGCAACGACGAGAAGTTCCACAGCCAGCCTTTCCTTCTAAGCGTCCTGCTTTTTTATTTTCGTTTCTAGCTGATAGTCTAGCTAGGCGTTATAGAAATGAAGCGTCGAACACGTATGTATGAGAGAAACAAAACACGAGTTCATTTTAGAGCTTCGAAATTGTAGAGCCCTGATCTGAAGTTTATGAAACTCAAATTTGGGTCATTCCAGCTCAAATGGGTACAGAATTTAAAAAAGTTGCGGTAGATGTCACCGATTTAGGCCAAACTTGGCCAAAACGCTTATTTTGGCATTCTGAACAAACGCCTTTTTTCTATTTTACTCTAAAGTGACTAGATGCTTCTCGGTTGCGACCCTGGATTTTCGAGATCTAAAAAAAAACTTTCAGAAGAGATTACTCCACAACCAAATAAGCCTTTCGTGATATTAGAACGTCAATTTAAAGGTTTTTAATCTTATAGGTGTACGCACATTTTGTTGTTGTTACATCAACTACAGTTAACAGACTGATTATCGGCAGGTATCAAAAGTGTCAAAAAATGGCCTATTTATTTGGCGGGATTTATTATTTTTTAATATGTTGGGCTCAAATTTTCACCACACTTTGGAAAACTCTTTTACTAGATGTGTTTCCCTGTGTGTAAGTTTGCTTTTGTATCATAAATCATACTTCAAATTTCCTTCTCCCTCTCTACATCCCTAAAAGTGTCATCCACTAGCTTAAGATTTAACACATCAATAATGTATAACGGGTATGATAGTTTGGCTCTGTAAAGTTTATTCAATTGAGCCTGTACAAATAAAGTAATTAACAAAAAATAATAATAAGAATAGCAGTAAGGTTTCCAAAAGGATCAACTAGAGTAAGAGATTCATTGCTCAATCACTGTAATCGATCTTGATGCAAAAGGCTCAGGAGTTTCAGGACGAGTCTTCTCTAAACCAATCAACAGTGACGCCACACTGCATGAAATAATGGATAGCGTACGTATGCAGCAAATGAAACTCCAGATTATCGATTGGTAGTATTGATGATTGACTGAGCTTCAGGGATCTCTACACGTCTCTGATCCATCAAATGGCAGATCTTTCGGAAGTGCAGAAATTCCACTACCCAAAAGGTTGCTTATCAGACGAAGCCAGGTTACCAGGGTTGCTTCCACTCACTCGCTATAAGAAAATTGTTTTTTGGAATTATGAAATTATTAGATGTTATAATGGTAATTAGTACTTCCGGAGAAATTTGAGATTTGGGCGTAATTGCTTTTGTAAACAAACACGTCAATCACCGATTTCTCATGAATAAAAGCTCAATCTTGTAAACAAACTATACCAAATGACAGAGTAATCAGTCCTCTATATGATTGTGTTATTAGTTTTCGAGATTGAAGTTTTATTCGCGAGAAATCGGCGATTGACGTGTTTAATTACAAATGTAATTACGCCCAAATCTCAATTAACTCCGGACATGTAAATTACTAGAAGAGGTCGTGAAGTAAGTGTTTGAAACATAAAACCAATCAATTTTGCTTTCAGTGGGTCATAATTAGCCATTTCACGAAATTGACAGGTTTTATGAGTCAAACGCACACTTTACACCTTCTTCTTGTTACTTGCAAGTACAGCATATAATTATATCATATAATGATTTCATAATTCCACAAAACAATTTTTTATAGCAAGTGAGTGGACATTAGCTGCAGGACATTAGTCGATCCACTAGAGATCACTTGTGACAACTATAAAATAACTTAGGAGTCTTTGCTAAAAAGCAGCCACAAAAGCAAGTTACTGGCTAACCAAGGAAACAATCATGGATCTCTACAGATTGGCTGATGGATTCGATCGTGCGATTAAGAATTTGGATCAAGTCACCATTCAAAATCATTGAGCTGAAGGCAAGGATTTACTACTAAATTCCCGTCTGGAATCAGCCACCTGACGTGGCTGAGAGAGAACCATGTTCGCTAAGGAACAAGTCGCGCTAAAGCACTTGCGGGAGATCCTTCAAAGGAGGGTCCACATTCATGAATCTCTACCAGCGAAGGAAATATCCAGAATCGAACCTCATTATCCCAAATGGACATCATCAGAAAGCCATACGATGGAACACAGCTTTCCTCCGCAGAACACATTACCAACTAAGTTACACCCACCGCTTTGTCTCGGTGGGTTTTCAACCAAGCGCTCTGATTTTCTGTGAGTGACTAGTTCTCCATTGACCCTACTCACATGCCAAAAAATCAGACCGACTGGATGAAACCCCGCCAAGAAAAAGCGGTGGGTGCAACTCAGTGGGTAACGCGTTCTTCGGGGGATAGCTGTACGGCTAAGTGCCCATCGTGAGCAGATATTCATGGACTACACAGCTGTCCAGCGTCGCCAAAACTGTCTCAACGAGGACATCTAGATTGCTCGTCGATGTTTTCATGTTGGAACTGCAAGGGTTCACCAGGGGTTCTTAATACCAGGCACGGACGGTGTTGGATTTCGAGTTGGAAGGTAACTTCATCTCTGAAGGACTTTTGTCTTTTGTTCCGCGAACCCAGAACGACCGTCACTCGTAAAATCCAAGCTTTCATCTAATCTTGGTTCTCGTCATACTGTCGACCGATGCAAATTCTCGTCTTACTGAAGCTCACAACTTGTTTGCCTACTTCTACAATGACGACAAATGGATTTGGCACACTGGCAGGCATCGAATTGGCACATCCGGAATTCTTCCGCTCGCTTGCATATCTTCCTCAACTTTTCAAATTGTAATCATGGTTGAGTTCTCTGCTAAATGCATTCATGATGACTCCATCGTCCTCCCTGTACAACGACAGTATCTTGCGAAGGCCAAGCTTAAGGTGTCTCTATTTTTGGCTCATGAAATTTACAGCCTTCTGTTTTCATTGCTTGATTTCCAACGAGAGCTTTTTTTAAATTTATTTATCTGTACATTCTCAAAACGAGAGAAATTTGTACAGACTCGACATACATATAATTGGTGCTTGTGCAGAATGGCAGCCACTCTTGGGGTCTCTAAGTACCATATTGAAGCCAGCACCGTACTCAGCAGAGAAGGTTAGATTAAAGGTGAATACGTCGAAGACAAAGTATTTGTTAGCTGGAGGGACCGAGCGGGATAGGGTTCACATAGGCAGAAGCGTGACAATCGACGGAGATGAGTTCTAGGGGGTGGATGAATTTGTGTATCTCGGATCATTGGTGACGTCGAATAGCAACTACGGATTCCACAAGACTCTGAGGTCGGGTAAACTTCACCTCCGTACTAAATGTACCATGTACAAGACGCTGATAAGACCGGCAGTTCTCTACGGGCACGAGACGTGAACGATGCTCGAGGAGGACCTGCAAGCACTGGGTGTTTTCGAACGACGAGTGCTTAAGACCATCTTTGGCGGGCTATGGGAGAACGGTGTATGGAGGCGAAGAATGAACCACAAGCTGGCGCAACTCTGTATCCAGAAAATTGGGAAAGCTGAACCCTGTATCCAGAAAGTTGGGAAAGCTGAACGGGTATGATGGGCGGGACACGTTTTAAGTATGCCGGACAATAATCCCGTAGAAATGGTGTTTGCCTCGAATCCGGCCGGTACAAGGCAAAGAGGAGCACAGCGAGCAAGGTGGAGCACAGCGACCAAGTGGAGCAGGATCTTGGAAGTGTGGGACAAGCAGCCACGGACCGAGTGAATTGGCATAACATTGTGATGCAGGTGCAATCCTGAGGGATGTCGGACCAGGATAAGTAAGTAACCGTACTCAGCAGCATTTGCCACTAAGAACCCTGAAGGGTGGAAGAATTGCTTGGATCGGCGAGACCGAAAATGGTGTCTGGCTTCCATATAAAATTTCCGTCGTTGGTCGTTTGATCGATAAGTTCGATAATACAGGAATATTAGAATAATATTTTTGGGCTGTCAGTTAGTGAATTTTTACTAAACCTTGACACTTTGAAAATAAATTTAAATGTTATGTTGTTATTATTTAAATTCTTCCGTTTTTGATCCGCTATGTAACAGCATTAATTTAATTGGAAACCAATTATGGGTATAATACCAATTTGTCATTAATTTCAATCATGAAATACTAAGTTTTCAAAGAAACAAACAACACCGCCTCCAAAGCTCATTCAGTCCAGTCCGTAGTGAACTTTTAAAGTAAATGACTGCTGAGTTTTCAAGAAAGTGACTAATAGCATGCGGTATGGATCGCGTATTAGTGAGTGAATGAATACGATTTTGTTTGCTCTAACGACGGTTTTGCAAATTGTCTGCATTTAAATGGCCTCAAGATAGTAGATTAACCTTTTTTAATTCATGGGAAAACCTATCAGTCACTCATTTTGGATCATTCAAAATCGTAACTTAACTGATTGAACTTACGAATTGTTGCAAAATCAAGTTGGCGAAAGTCCTGTTTTCCCCGAAATTAGGGCTCGATTCCCGCTCCAGCCGGTGGAACTTTTCGTAAAACTGTTGAGTGTTGTTCCATGTCTAGTGTTGAGTGTTCAGTATAACCAAACTGTTTGACATCAAAATTATCAAAAATGTGTGTAGTAATAGAATTATAAATAAATATCAAGCTGCAGTCAGAGCCACGAAGGAATAATGAATAAATTATCTATTGAAAATTAATTGCAGCTTACAATTTTTTCCAACAACCCAGCAACCCCTCGTCATCGCAGGCACCCATCTGTTTCCAACTTTAAAACTATGTTTGCCACTCTGTAAAAACCATTTTCCTCCTTTTATGCAGCCAAATCACACCAAACCATATGTTGACTGCACTTTGGAATTTGCACAACTTGTTTATGACACCATCAATGCTGGGTGGTTGCATCGTTGTTGTTGTTGTTGTTGTTGTTGTTGTCAGTTGTGGCATCAGCTGAACTGACCAAATTTGCTTCCACACACACAACAACATGTATACGAGCAAACATGAACCATTCGTACGTGTCTCTGCTGGCGGTCGACCGTTTCCATCGGTTCAAACTCTGCGTTGGTTCGGAAAATGTGATAAAAGTTGGTAAACTTACGGTGAATGTAATTTGTGATGTTTAACTTAAATGAGGATTTTGGAGATGAAATAAATTAACACACCTCAATCAAGCATTCAGATGAGTCCTGTCAAAGTAGGTCAAAGTGAATTAAAATAAAAAAGACACTCGCAAAAAGGGTATGATCACTATGTTGGTCCCATTTTGGATTTGTTCAATTTTATCAAACATAAATTTGTGTTCGTTTTCGGACAGAAGTTGTGGAATTACCCGGTGCTTAAATATACATTCATAAAGCGTGTTTGGCGTAGAAGGCAACCATTTCTTCTCACAGGAACATTTTCGATAAGATTCATCTAGCGCAATCTTTGGGGCCACAGGGCAGGGAAGAATTGAAACCAAGTTTTTTTTTTCGTTTGTTTTTGCTTACGAGGAAATAGCTGTTAGCCAGAATTTCTCTTTATTTACAAGCCCTTTGGGAATAATGTCTTACTGCGTGGTAATTAGTTGCACTGAGATTCTAGAGTAAAGTTTCAACAGAAATCCAAACGAAATCGAATAAAAAAAAACATCAATATCATCTGCGCTTTCATACCAATTCGGTTCGAACGATGCAATCAGTATAAGAGCTTCAATTTGTCGATTAAAATAACTTGATATCACTTTTCGTTTTGCCTCTTTTCTAAAATATACAATTGTTTGTTTTCGTTTTTTTTTTCTTTGTTGTTGTTTGGTTTGCTTATTACTTGTTACTAGTTTGTAAGTATTCCTTAGTATATTTACAGTCGTACAATATCTATAACTTTATGTGTATTAGCGTTCGATTTCATAGCTGTACATCTTTCAATTGATAGTAAGCGTTTCATGTTTTAAAAAGAATCTTCTCTTTGTATAAAAATCTCGAAGAAAAAAGCGATTATCGAATAAAAAAATCTCTTTAGAATTTTCAACACTGATAACATTTAACGGGGGGGGGGGGGAGAGGAGCTCCTGTTCCGAGTGCTAATTGAAACGAAGATTTCGGCTGCTGAGCACACAGAAAACAATCAACTTTATAAAACAAAGTTTTCATTGCATAGCGTCCTATCACTTGTTTGCGTGTTTAAAACATTGTTCAACTATCGTAAAGAAAGGTGAAGGCAGAGCGGTGATGGCGCTAGTGTAGCTTTTTAGAAAACCTAAACACGCATAAACCGTTTCGGAATCTAAATGTTTTTTTTTTTTTTTTTTTAGTTTCGGTTGCGGCACGGTTTGTCCGTTAAACAGAAATGCCTTTAATTGAATCACGTTCATCGTTCGAGCCAGCCCACATTGCAGTTGCTTGTATATTTTTTATGTATGTTTATGTGTGTGTGTGTGTGTGTTAAGAGATAGAGTTGTTGGATAGGATGCGGAATTAACTATTTTTCAGTTTGCGTTCCTTGTTTTTACCCAGCGACGCTCGGCGGATGGCCGATACGATGGTGACGGTGGTGGTGGTGGTGCTGATGCTGTTGATGGTGGCAGTTAGCGGTTGCGTTGTGGCTGCCACGGAACCGGAAAATGCTGCGGATCCATTTTTCTCCGGTGGAGCCACCATAATCAGATCCTCTCAAACGTTACCGATTGGATTTTTGGTTTCTGGAAGAGGAGAGAAAACGATTGCTTCAGGCGGTTATTATGGAAAATCATCCATACATTTAATATATGATGGGTTAAATGATATCACTACATGATTATACTACAAAGGATTACAGTGCAACACATCGCATTCGTTAACTCAAATAGTCGCCTCCATAATAGCTGTCCACGTGTCCCTTACCTTTGGTGGTGCGGGGTATATATCCGATTTGCATTAGATTTATCGAAAAATCGATAATCGAATATTTGATTTATTGAAACCGGTAAAAAATAGTATTACAACAGTATTAAGTCTCACACACAGCCAAAACCCATACAAACATAAGCCGTGTTATTTCGAGAAACCGTAAAAAAAACACAAATCATGTTATTATAAACTGTAATCAGGGACTTTCCGGAATGCATGATGACTATCCAAACAGTGACAGTTATGGCATGATAAACATCAGTGATGGAAAAGTTCGCGAAAACTCACTATGAATCGCGAACTTTTTCCTTGGTAAACTTCGTGAAATATCGCGAACTTTTCCAACACTGGAAAACATGTTACCCACGTTTATTTTCAAGAACTGGATATCTTGGAGGGAGGGGAAGTAGTTCTAAGTTAGAACTTTCAACCCCAATGACATCACTGTCAGTGTGGTCTGGTAATTTTAAAGCTGGTATCTTTATTTTTATTTATGTGAGTGCCCCTTTAAGGAGGACCCATAATTGTAAATTCAGAATGCACATACAATTTAGTTCCTTCGATTTAAAACTAGAGGGTAAACTTAGCTCGCCATAAAACTTGAACACTTTCTTTAAAGCGTAGATTCACCATTTATGGCCATACGTTCCTATTATGGTGGTTTCAGCAATGACCTATGAGAACTGGAATACACCATAATAGGAACGTACGGCCATAACTGGATCACACCCACTTAGAAATAACTAATTTTACAAGTGACGGAATCCATCTTTGACATAAAAGATGAGACATAAACAAACATGTCATGTAATATTAAATGCTCCGAGACTGTAAAATTCATTACTCGACAAAAAATACGTTTGATTAAGCTATATTTCGCGTCTGTTATGACTCAAATTTATGTCAAAATTGACGCTCGTATATGTCACTCTAAGAGCACCTAAATTTACATGAGTTTTTCTAAGTGTGCATATAAGCTTTTCAGTTTAACGGTGGATCAAAATTCTACGATGCTTAATATTCGTAATTTTGGTTTTTGGAGAAGCAGAATATATAAAATTGTACCGTCTTTGCATTAGTGTGAAAATCTTTGACCTTCTGACTGCAAAATTGACAGGTTTTATGTTTCCTACACAAACTTTACCTACTCTTCTTGCATCTAACATAACAATATTATTATAATATCTCATAGTTTCATAATTCGAAAAGTAGCGTTTGAGCTGTATTGATATTTTTCAGGCCTGCTCACAATTCCATTTTGGGTTTTTGTAGTCTTGTTGGTCTGAAAACTCAAAATTGAGATCCACTTTTATTTATTTATTGTTGAGTCAATGTTACTCATATTCAGAAATCCCAACTACTCATGCTTTGATGTTTTGAAAGAAGTTATGAAAATGAATACGTCTGACTTATGCATCTAACAAGCCTGTATGAGGCAGCGATTTAGCGTCATTTAGTTTTTTGACGCTTGTTCGCACTTTCTCTATCTATCACACAGGGATGAATCATTATTTGTCCTCCTGCTCGTACTTGATCGAGATAGTGGTTTGGTGCGCTGATCAAACGTAAAAATCTCAGTTCACTGGTTTCGTCCAGTGCACGAAACAATCTGGTTCAATGAGTCATTTTCATATGAATATGTACAGCCATCCCACAGTGGTTCCTCTTAGAACAAAAGTTGGCCAAAACCTCAAAATTGTTGCAAACAGGCAAAAATAGATGTTTTTCAGCTGTACGAAGAAAACTTGACAATCAAGACGTCACAAAAAGGAGTATAGTAGAACCAAAACCAATGCACAATGGTACCAAAGCCGTATTTAGGAAGACAAACATGTTTGCGCCCAAACCGTCAGTTTTAGGTATATGATTTCTTAGGGAAAGTTGCTTCATATTTTTTGTTCAATCTTTATGTTCGTAAAATTAGGGTGGTCCATAAAATTGGTGAATTAAAAATACATGCTTTTTTATTTTTTTATATAGACCAAAGCAGTGTTGTAAACAGTTGTAGAACTATCAATTCAAAGCAACTTTGTTAAAGACACAACGTTTTTATCTCTTACGGCTCATGGTTCAGGTTAGGGTGACCACTAAAATCGGTATTCTATGAATGTTTTTTCAACCGTTAATTTCTCGTAAAAACATTGTTCTGATTACATTTAATGACACATTTTTTGCTCGAGCAACTAGGTTACTATCTTTTATGATTAGAAAGTTAAAGGCTATTGGCTTTTTTTCAATTGTCAATATCTCAAAATGGAGCAAACCGATTTTCAAGCATTTAATTTCATAGGAAACAGCGTTTTTTCTTCATATTTGGTAAAAAAAAATCTGAAAGCGCTTTTTCTGTATAAAGCATTAAAATTAAAAAAGGTAATATTTTTCTGGAAATATTAACCATAACTTTTCAAAAAAAGAGATAACAACTTAGTAAAAATATGCGTCATAAAAAGTTCTTAAAGTGTCTAGTATAAAAATTTCACGAGACATGATGAACGTATAAAAGGATATCTTAAGAATTCCAATTGTCTAGGGGCCACCCTAACCGCTTCACAGTGGTTCAAACCTACCGAAGGGTAGTGTCTTCAGAGAAGTTGTTAGATACTTTGTAAGCTTTGTTTTGAAGTAAGTAAAATTAGGATCTATCCACCTAGAAGGGCAATAGAAAATTCAAATTTTGTAAACATGCTCAAAAGTGGTTGGCATCTTGAGCAAAGTTGTAGCAACTTTGCTGGAGATGTCAATATCGTATACTCAATGTATGATGAGTTTTTATGAAAACTCCCTCAAAAATCATTTTTTGTTAGAAAAAATGTTCAAAATTTTATTTTAGCAGTATGATTTGTTCTAAAAAGTTGTAGATATCATCAAAACACGCATTTTACTACGAGACATTAGGATGTTATAATGAACCTATCAACCTATTTTAACATAAAAATAGGTCATTTACTACGCAAAATATCTGGAGAACGGGCAAATACGGGCAAGCCAAACCATCTTCATTCAAAAAGTATGCCTTTGAACTACAAAATACAAGTGGTTTCATTAGGTTCTGATAGGTTCTACGCTTGGCATGTTAGAAATATATTTGCCATTCTACCAACAACATCCAACCTCTACAACACGTCATCTCTCATTGAAACAACACATAGCTTTTTCGGCTTCACATCATGATCCTAGCAAGCCATGATAAATGTGTGATACATTGTAATTAAAAACGTTCAGCATTAAATAAAATACGTTTGTGCGTTTGTACGTTTGAAAAAATGCCATATATCATCAGAATACATTAACGTATGTTGTGTCGATTAGTCCTGAAATCATAAATTAAGAAAAAAAAAACTAAAATGAAAGATACATTGAAAATTAGCAGCGTTCATCATCGGTTCCAGTATCAATGCTGTCCTCGTCGCTGTCAACAGCATCGGAATAAGCTGAATCAAGAAGAAGAGATCTGGAATCTTCTGACAGTGGCATTTGTTTTTCGTCAGGAAGTGCCCTTAACGAGGAGATGAGGGAATCAGACGATTCTAGGAGCCGATTTAACAGGTCTGTGCTTGTTGCTGTCCGTGAAAATTTTCTTGTTTGGTCCAATCGATATCGCTTAATGTCCTTATTCCGACATTCTTATGCCTCTTCCGACAATTGCCCAATTGGCACAAGAAAATGGCTTATGATCTGGGATCCATGCATAAGAACTTTGTGTACAGTCACCGGGAGATAAAACCAGGGGTAATTCTTGATTAATTCTCTTGACAATACTCTTCAAACTTTTGAGAGTCAATTTTCAATCCCGAAGCCAGAACTTCTAGTATTATTTTGCATCTATATAGCAATGCAGGGTTCAATCCGGTGATCTCAGCTGACTTTTCCTAGTTCTGGAAGAAACGGCGTGCACTGTTTCCGTCATTCGAAGTTCCAGATCCTCCTGAACGAGGTTTTTCGACGATCAATCCTGTTTCCACGCGGAACCGTTCTTGTATTTGTTTCTTCCTCTGTCGCATTGCCTCATTATCAGCTCCTCTGGCTTGCCATTTTTTGATATCCAAACGATACGAGATGTAAAGGAAATATTCATAAAAACGTATCCATGCATGTAATGTGCAAATCGAAAATTATCCTTGTTTGTTGGGCGTTGATGTATTTTGGAGAGATCGTTCATTTGGATAGGCGTGGCACCACAAATGTAGTACCTTTGGGCAGATTTTGTAGACGTTACCGAGTTGCACACTTTTCCGTCTACCATTGTCATGAGCATATCATATTTGACAACGTTATTTCCCGTTTATCATCAGCTTCAATGGTTGCAAATCCGAGATCTGTTGTTCAATGTAGTCGTTTTCTTTAACCGATACCTCGATTGTTTCAGTTAGGAACTGAATATGAACTGGACGACAGTAGCGTTTTGAAGACGGTCGAGGGTTCTGAAAAAGGCACTTCTCACCGGGGAACAATAGATTTAATGAGCATGTTGGAATGCGATTTAGCTGTATCATCGCAGTTAAATCGTTGCTTATACTCGGCGTGACCGGAACTGCCATCAAACCCCCATTTAACGGTAAGCACGACGTCGAGCAGTTCACTTTCTGAAAATTCATCAAGCTTTGAAGTATTCGCTTCGATAATTCTTGGTACAGTATGGGCCAACAATTTTTGAAGTTTCACTTCAACAACGGCTTCGGTAACGGTGATGGCATCGCTATCTGGGTAGCAAGCTTTTTTAGCAGACAATATTTCGTTGTAGTTCGGATACAACTTAGCATTTCCCGTGTTTGCGCCATGTCTCATTTTAAGGTATTGAAAATTTGTCAAATTA